CAGGCACCACCCCTATTTTTTTTTTTTTTTTAAAGAGACAGGGTCTGCCATCCTGGTGGCTCAATGCCTGTAATCCCAGCACTTGGGAGGCTGAGGCAGGTATATTGCCTGAGCTCATAGGTTCGAGACCAGCCTAAGCCAGAGTGAGACCCTGCCTCTAAAAAAATAGCTGAGCATTGTGACGGGAACCTGTAGTCTTGGCTACTTGGGAGGTTGAGGCAAGAAGATCACTTGAACCCAAGAGTTTGAGGTTGCTGTGAGCTAAGACACCATGGCACTCTACCAAGGGTGACCAAGTGAGACTGTCTCAAAAAAAAAGAGACAGGGTCTGACTATGTTGTCCAGGCTTGTCTCAAACTCTTGGCCTAAAGCAATCCTCCCATCTCTGCCTCCCAAGTAGCTGGGATTACAGGCATAAGCCACCACACCAGCTGTATGTGCCATTCTTTCCCTTCTCCTAAGCAGCACCACCTGGCCTTGGGAGAATATGAAAAGTTTTTCTGTTTAGCAGCAAGTAATGCTGGGCCCTGCTTCCTGCCCTCAGGACTTAACTGCAGCTTCCCACAGAGGAGAGAGCTCTTTTTCAAAGGAACCACAACTTGCTGAAACTTCACAAAGGCAGCGAACAAAGCTGCTACTCATTCAGATGCTTCTCACCCTAGGTTCTTTCAGCTAGTTATAAATCTTCTCTGAAACTCTCTTCCCACCAGCAGTGAATGGGCACAGAGCCTAACTTCTGGTGGGGACAATTCCAAGTTAAAAAGAGCCCGATCTAGGCCACTGAAAAAGGCACTACAACTGTAGGACAGTCATTCCTCTACCTTCACTCGTTCCTCTGGCCGCTTTACCACTTTGTCACTGAGGAATTTGGTGGGAATGAAGCCAGTGACACCATTGTCTAGCCGTGTTTTGACACCGATGGCTTGGCCTGGGCATGAACCACTGTCAAAGTGGTTCCAAACCTAAAGAGGGTACAAGGAAAGAAGCTTGATCATTAAGATTCCAAAGATCCCACATTCAGAGAAGACCTGCCCAGAGTGTTATAATGTATTTTACCACTGATACCTGACACCATAGTCTGAAAAGAAAATGATAGCCAAGGACAGAATTTGAACATTCACAATTTGACTCATAACTGATGTTTGACATCACAGGCCATTAGGCGAATCTTATGTTTACCTAACCTAGATCTCTGAAGGATGTGCTTTGTTTAGACCCACTGAGCACAAGCAGTACCTATGTCAGTCTTCTCAGAACATCTAATTACAGTGAAATAGGGACTCCTTGGCTTTCTTATGTACTGGACAAATCACACCAGCTTCTTTTATTGGGTAAAATTAAGAAACTGTCTCTTTTATAATCTGCCTAATTACACGTAAAATAACACAGAATAAATTTTTAGGGTGGCTTTAATGACTTCTGGCAGATAATTCTAGATAAAAATGGCGAAATTTAAAGTGTGTAGAGTAAAAATTGAAGGGAGGCTATTGATACCTTCAATAAGCATGTGTAGGTGACACTGTGCCTACCCTGCAGGAAAGAAATGGATGTCCCCATTTCTCCAATCTGGTGGAGCCCAACATCCAGAGAATGGCACGTAAGGGTTAAGGAGTAGGTGACTGAGCCAGAATAAAAGAAAGCACACAGTTGACTTGGTGCCGGCAGCTCAGTCGCTAGGGCACTGGCCACATATACTGGCGCTGGCTGGTTTGAACCCAGCCTGGGCCTGCCAAACAGCAGTAACAACTACAACCAAAAAATAGCCGGGTGTTGTGGCAGGTGCCTGTAGTTATAGCTACTTGGGAGACTAAGGTAAGAGAATTGCTTAAGTCCAAGAGTTGGAGGTTGCTGTGAGGTGTGATGCTACGGCACTCTACCCAAGGCAACTTAGTAAGACTCTGTCTAAAAAAAAAAAAAAAAAAAAGAAAGCACACAGTTAACTTCCGGGTAGCACATGGAGAGACTTCCTATTAAACCTGTAAGTCTCTATCCCCTTTCCTTCTTATTCTTGTTTGGTGAGAGTATGACCTCAAATACCTCATTTCTCATTCCTTCTCGGGGCACTGAGACCATTCAATCAAGGAAATCCACTGACCACAATTAACACTGAGGCACACACCTCACTTAGTTCAGGAAAATTGTCCTGCTGACAGAAGGGGCACTGCCACAGCCCTGTCTCATCATTGCGGATTGCCTGGTCATAGCTTTCACCCTGTGGACGCCTGTGGGCGATGCCAGTGACATTGCAGATAATGAGCTTTCCTGGAGGAAGAAGAGAGGCAAATAGGCAGCAGGCTGAGAAAGCTAGAAAAAACAATTCCTTCCCACCCAACCTTTTAGTGACAGAATACCTGATTTCCTTCCCACCCTTCAGAAGGGAGATCTTCCCCTACAGGATGACAGGGGAAAATGAGGCCTAGAAGAGTGATTCCAACAAGATTTGACCTTAAAACTGAGTGTTGGCTTCTAGTGCAGGGCTCTACAATCTTTTTAAAAGTACTCCCTGGTCCCCTGGTGTCCCACATCTATGATAGGAATATGCCTCCTTCTGCTGGAATCACTGCTTGGTTTGAATGTATATAGAAAATGTATCCCCTGCCCCCAAAACATCATCCTCCAACTAAAAAATAGCCCTAGAATTACCAATGTAGAAGGTCTCTGGTGTTTCTTTGGTTAACATATTGAAGATCTCCTCTGTGTTGGGAGAGCGGTAGGCTGTCCGGAGGTCCTTATACCGACAGCTCAGTTCTGCACGGATGTCGTACAGGGTGATATGTTTGTCGCCATAGCCCTGGGGAAGAAGCCCATTAAAAGCCTTGTAACTGGCTTGGTGCCTGTGGCTCAAGCGGCTAAGGCGCCAGCCACATACACCTGAGCTGGTGGGTTCGAATCCAGCCTGGACCTGCCAAACAACAATGATGGCTGCAACCAAAAAACAGCCAGGCGTTGTGGTGGGCTTGGTGCCTGTGGCTCAAGCGGCTAAGGCGCCAGCCACATACACCTGAGCTGGTGGGTTCGAATCCAGCCTGGACATGCCAAACAACAATGATGGCTGCAACCAAAAAACAGCCAGGCGTTGTGGTGGGCGCCTGTAATCCCAGCTACCTGGGAGGCAGAGGCAGGAGACTTGCTTGAGCCCAGGAGTTGGATGTTCTGTGAGCTGTGATACCACAGCACTCTACCCAGGGGAACAGCTTGAGGCTCTGTCTCAAGGAAAAAAAAAAAAAAAGCCTTGTAACCACTCCCTAACCTGAGTCACTGGGAATTTGTATGAAAAAGAGTAGGCCAGCTGGTTCCTGTAAGAGCTTCTCTTCTTCTCCTTTCCCTTCAACATTTATTGAAGGAGGTTTTCAAACTTAGCCATGGAACACTGTCCTGTAATGAAAATGCTTCAAGGGGCTTGGTGCCTGTGGCTCAAGCAGCTAAGGCGTCAGCCACATACATCTGAGCTGGCAGGTTCGAATCCAGCCTGGGCCGGCCAAACAACGATGGCTGCAACCAAAAAATAGCCTGGCGTTGAGGCGGGTGCCTGTAGTCTCAGCTACTTGGGAGGCTGAGGCAGGAGACTTGCTTGAGCCCAGGAGTTGGAGGTTGCTGTGAGCT